ATTTGGCATTGGTTTTCGACATTTGCGGTGTACCGATGGTGTCAGATATTGTGCAAAACGTATCGGAATCTCACCACGTAAGTTATTTATTTATTTTTTAGTGCACCGTTAATGGCAATTTTATAGGCATCTCTTATCACTCAACCTCTTGTTTGCAGAGGACATACAGTTTTTTGACAATTTATAGATTTTCAGGAAAATTTTATTGTTTTTAACAAGCCGACTGTTGCTTAGACAAATAACATATTGAGAGAGAGAAATATTGCTTCCAAGAAATAGCAAGGTACATGCAAGTGTTTGGGCTACAGCTTTCAAAAACACCGATCAAAATCCAATTTAGTGAACAGCGGATTAACCATAACAAGCAGTTTGACAAAACACCAAGTTTATCTTGCCGAGCCGATAAGGCCCAAATGTTACGCTGTCGTTGAATTGTAGTCGAATTAGTCTGAGTATCTAGGAAATGAGCAGCTTTTTAAATAATGAACTTGTTAACTAGAAGATCAGCAACGAAACCTCATGTAACTCTCAAAAAACTAATAACAGTGCTGCTTTTTTCGTACAGTAAAATGGTTTTTAATTAATTTTCTTGCAGATAATTCTGGCATTGTAGAAAAAAATTGTGATTTTGATGGCATATGTAACGTGAGTTTCTTTGTTTTGACTTCAAACTTTAGTTCCTTTTGTTTTATTACTTACTTTCTGATTATTTACCAAATTATTATCATTTACGTCAATGATATGACTCATATTGAAATTTTTGATGACGGCGACAAAAATTCAGGCATACGGTGTTCAGTGCGCCTACGAAGTGGCACACGGTGTTCAGCTCTGTTGCTGTGACGGAAACAACTGTAACAGCGGCTCCAAGATGTCATCAAACATTATATTTTATTGTATACCGTATGTCGTTTACTGTCTTTGGAATTTATGGTTTTGACTTCGTGTCGGTCACACAACTTAATTTCATTTGCAGTTGTTGCATCACCTCCGTTTAAGCGTTGATGACTGACGGTTGAAACCTAGGTATGACTCAGAGAACACCTACTTTGTAAACTTGTAAAAAAAGCCTCATGAAATCAATGCTTTTACTGTTTCGCCTCTCAACTTTTAAGTTTTAGAAAAATTAAAAGAAGTTTTATTAGTTGCATCGTACTGCCTGGAATTTTTTTTTAGGAACAGTAGTTTTAAGCAATTGACAGAATTCTTAATTTTGTACAGAGGTGATTTTAATTTTTCAGTTACTTCTTTTTTGTTTCTTTATGCTTGTTTAAATTGTAAAATATTTACCATGTGATAATAATAAACTTGTCAGCAGCAGCGAAAACAACAGCAGCAACAAACATTCTGAACTTAATTACAGTTTGAGTATCGGAAGCAAAATTTCTGGTCGGCAGAAGGAATGACACTTTCGGTTTACGACAATTGATAAACCGCTTGTTTCTGTAACGGCAATTCATTTGGGTCTTTAGAAGGTTGACAAAATACTGATTTAAATGCGTACCAGAATATCTGTTTGATGAAATTTGGTTGGTAAAGAAACATGAGTTTTTTTTATCTTGTAATTGTCAGAAATGTTTACAGTCAAACCAAAAAAATTCTAAGGAATCTATGTTTACGCAAAACGTTTTCTTCAATCTAATGCTTCATCTTAAACAGTAGCAATAGCAGCAGCAACGAGACTATTAAGAACCACACTTGGAATGCCACCAACACGGTCTCAACTAAAAAAAAAAAAGGAAATTTTTTTTTTCTTATGAACTTTTATCGGTAAACCGTTTCGTGGATCAAACGGCTACAAACTATGCGATGTCGTTTGTGTATTTATGTGTGCTGAACATTCGAGGAACAATGGTTAATCAAAAATAAAACATTGAACCTGCAGACAATTGCTTATTCATAAGCACACAGCAAACAATATAAGAATGTTTAAATATAAATGACAAAAGGAAAAAAGTAAAAAATTAACAAATTATTTCGGTAAAAACAATACAATCAACAAATGTTTTCTACTAATCTTTTTCTTTCTTTTTTTTAGACTAGTTCATGATTCATTGTAAAACAAGTATAAGTCACTGTTCACAATTGTTGTATGACATATACCTTTAGAGGACACTGCAGAACACTATTTGTATGTAACATAAAGAATGTAAAGTATAATCTGTAAAAGTTCAACTTCAAAAAAAAAATTGAAAAAAAATCTTATTTTACCATTTATTAGAAAAAAAAACCGGATAAAACATAGTATAGACACTTCAATAAATAGCGGATTAGTTATGGAATTGGCAAAACAAAAAATTTGTTACTGAATTTTCAACTGCAACTTTAGTGCTGTTTAAAATCAATCAACAAATTCGTGCTAAATCCTGATTTGAAAACAAAAATTTTTGAAAATCAGCCACCAAAATTGTTTCAACCGATTGTCAAAAAACCTAACAGGCGTATATCTTTCAAGCTTCACCATATTACTAAAAAAAAAACTCTAAGCATAACTTCTTTAGTTTAGAAGTGGCATTATATGTTGCAGTATGTCCTGAAACATTTTTTTTTTTTTTT